CAGTGCCGCCCACCCCCAATCCTCTGAGCCAATCCAGAAGGATACCATGGTCGATGGTATCAAAAGCCGCTGAGAAGTCAAGTAGGACAAGGATGGATGCACAACCCTCATCCCGCCCTCGCCAGAGATCATCCAAAAGCGCGACCAATGCTGTTTCTGCATTCTCAGTTTATGACATAAACTCAGTTGAATATATGTTTGTATGGTGAGCCTTTGAAGACCTCAGTGCCAATGACTGGGAGACAAATGATCCCTATTAGTTTGAACTAGACATGGAAGCAAACAAGAAAGCAATGTAGTTGTTTTAGAATTAGTAGAATATGGGTCAATCAAAATCAACTAGTTAAAATCCTGGCAGTCACATTTAGAACCTGTAGAATCCTGGTTCTGTTTCTAAGGTCAAAATCTTATATAACAGATTATAGTAATTCAACATGAAATTTACAAGCACATTACTGGGATTTAAAAATAAACACATGAATAAGAGCAAATTTTGGATATAAGTGCTCTTTCCTTCCTCTCCTTTTCTTCTGACATGTAACAGAGATTATCAATTACTTCCAAATTCTAAAAACTCTGACTATTTTAAATTTCATTAATACACACACCAGCATTATAAAGAAAATATCCTGTTTTATCTCAACTATTTTTGAATATTGCAAATTCTGATAAGTTCTTCTGGTTTTGTACAATAGAGAAGCAGGTGGGAGGCAGAATGCACAAGCCCAAGGCTTCTAGCAACTCTTACATGTAACAGAAACTATGACCTAAGTGTTACAGTTGAACAGGCTGTGGATGAATTTATGTAAGTTCATAAGTTCATATAAGTTCATACAAAAAGAAAAAGTATAGGTAGCCCTCGCTTAACTACCATTTGTATAGCAACTGTTCAAAGTTATGACGGTGCTGAAAAAAGTGGTGACTGGTCCTCACATTTACGACCGTTGCAGCGTCCCTGCGGTCATATGATCATGGTTTGGGCACCTGGCAACTGTTGTGCATTTATGATGGTTGCAGCATCCTGCAATCATGTGATTGCCATTTGCAACCTTCCAGCTGGCTTCTGACAAGCAAACTCAGTGGGGAAGCTGGCAGGAGATAACAAGTTGTAGTCACATGATGTCTTGCTTAACAAACATGGGTGATTCACTTAATGACTGCAACTGGGACTGCTGTTGCTAAGCGGGGCAGTCATGTGATGTTTTGCTTAATGACTGCCTAGGGATAGAGTTGCTGGTCCCAATAGGGTCATTAAGTGAGCACTATCTGTAGTGCCTTGAAAGAAGTGGTAATGTATCCCTCCCTCAAGAAACCATCACTCAACCCAGTAATTTTAGACAGCTATCAACTGGTCTCCAACCTTGTGGAGAAGGTGGTGGATTACAGTTACAGTGAGTCCTGAATGAAATGGATTATCTGGACCCTTTTCAGTTAGGATTCAAGCCAAGATGTAGACCAAAACCACACTGGCCATTCAAATTGAAGACTTTTGATGGGACTGGGATGGAGGAAATGTGACTATCCTGGTCCTGCTGGACCTCTTAGCAGCTTTCAGAATCACTGACCATGGTATCCTCCTGGATCAACTACAAGAATTGGGAGTAGGATGTACTGTCCTTTAATGGTTCTCCTCTTTCGTGAGTTACTGTTTTCAGTTTGCGATGATGGGTGGAAAGAGGTTAGGCACTTGGCCACTCTATTATGGGGCTGCCACAGGCTCCATCTTCTCTCCTCTACTGTTTAGCATCTATGTGAAGTCACTGGAAGAGGTAATCCCCCAGCCCAGGATGAGCTATCATCAATATGCTGATGATACCCACAGGTAATGAAAGGTGCACCAAAAAATGCCCATGTAATACCAGTACTATAGGAACTGCGGTAGCTGCCAATTAATTTCCAGTTGTAATTTAAAGTGCTGGTTGTCACTTTTAAACATGGTTCGGGGTCTGGATTATCTCCATGAATGTCTTGTCAGAGTTGAATATGTGTCTAGTAAGATCTGGGAGAGAGGGTTTGCTAAGAGTCACACTAGCTAGAGAATGCCATCTTCAGGAACCCCTGCTTCAAGCTTTCTCAGCAATGTTCCCCCTCTCAAAGCTTACCGCAGACCACCTCCTCCTTACTATATTTTCAGAGAGCCATAAAAACATGGCTCTTCAGAAAAGAATTTCAGGACAAATAGGATCATGTTACCCCAAACAGTGACAGGTTAGAATGATTGGTTGTAATTGTATTGATTTATTTTTGCTTTTAATACTGTAAGCCACTCAAGAGTCTCTGCAAATGAGTGGTATGTAGATATACTAATAAAGAAATAAATACTGAGCTTCTGTCCTTGGACTGTGTTTCAGAAATTTTTTTGTAAATATTACTGTGTTAATATCAAAGACTGCAACTGAATGCTGAATCAAAGTCCTGCTTTTTGTGGAGCCAGGTATTTTTTTTTTTCTGATGCCTAAATATCCTCTTAAGCAAAGAAATATTGTACAACTTAAAGTCTGAAGCCTGGCAGAAAAGAAGTCTTAAACCTGCTCTGTACTTTGCAGATAAAAGCAGCTTCAAGAATACATGTGCTTCATTAACTTATTAAAAACAATGATTTTAAAAACCTACATCATCTTCTTACTATTCACTCAGATTATTAACTGTCAGGGAATACCCTATGTTCCTAAAGCAGGGGAAGCGATGTTCTGTGCCAATCAAATATAAAAGACCTCTGACGTTCTAAATAAATTCTGCCAATGGTTCTCCTCTCCACTTTACTCCCAGAAGCCTCAAACTTTCTTTATTATCAACCAAACTGATGTTTAGTTACTGCTGGAAAGCCCTGAGGGAGGACACTGACATTTTCTAGTCATATCCTCAAGGTCTTTCAGCTCAACATGCTTCACATTCTGCAAGAACATCCATCATGCTCCACAAATTGCAGCTTGCATGACAGTAACAGGTTCAAAGATTTCCTCCCCTCTGCTTATGAGCTCTTTGCATCCTATCTTGAGTCTCAAATAAGAATCATATTCAGTGCCCTATATTTCTGTTAATCATGAGTGTTCTACTTTGTAAACCAAAGCTTCTATTTACATCCAACATATCATGGAATGCTGTTGAGAAGTTAACATAAAGGCTCTAAACTTGAACACACAATCTCTTTGATAAGTGCCAATGTAAAATTGGGCAGCAAAGTTTTAATTGTACAATATTTACTGAATACATAAAAATTGGTTAAAAGTGCAAGTCTCAACTGCTCTGGGCACTAAAATCTTCTATTTCCTGGGGAAAAAATTATGTACAAACTAAATTGAATGGCAGCCAAAACCCTGAAAGAATTTAGCGCATTTGACTTTATTTCGTTTTTATCAACTTCTGATAAGAGCAGATGTGAAATACAAACTTGCCACATACTGGAGAAATTTAATCCAATAATTTGGTTATGGATATTTCTACAAAGATACCTATCAACTACATACCTATTAAAAATCTATGCTATTAAAAGGACCCAAAGCCCAAGTAGTATCAAAGTAATTTGTTCAAAGCAAGCTAGGAAACACCCCCACACACACACACGCCTATGCAGGAAAGGAGAAAGATCCCTTAACTTAGTAGCCAGATAAATATGACTATTTGCATCGTTTACAGTAAAAAGACCTTTCATGTAACATATTTATGCAGTAATTCCAGGGGGAAAGGTATGCCTTTTGCAACCACAACAGTTAGATCCCATGTTAATGAATAAAAATATCATGGAATAAAGACTAAAAGGAAAGTCAGTAGCATCCATAATATCAGTTGTTGTGTTTATCACTCTTAAAGGACAAAGCTGGGTGATATTTCATACTGAATAATAAATGCTGTGCAGAAAATCTGTTTTTTCCGCAGACCAAACAGCAAGTATAAACACTTTCAGAAAGAGTTTATGATTTTTATATTATTTTTATGCCTCAATTACAGCTTCCTAAGATTAAAACATTTTTTTCCTGATTGTTAGGAACTGCTGCTCCTGGATTTTGTTTCCTCTGAAACAATGTAAATTGCCATGATCAGAGAGAAAATTTTGATGCAGCCAGTGCAGCAAGACATCCAGGTCAATAATTTGGAAAAGCTTAAGTAATTGCTAGTATTTCTCTATTACCTGGCGACATGAAGAGGTTTAAACTGGAGTTGGGCAGCCAATAAATTTAAATAAATAAATAAATAAATAAATAAATAAATGTGTTTTGAGTGCTCATATATTCAATTCATGATTATTTATACATTGCACATGGTACTTCAAAGAGTAACATAAGTTTAAAAGACTAAGGAAACTAGAATTTAAATTATAGACAGAGAAGAAAAAGTCATCTGATTGTTCTAACTTACTAAATCATGTATGACCCTCCCGATTAAGGCACCCTGTTTATTCCTGCAATCTTACTGCAGCAAGTTAAAGAGTTTGAAGAATGAGATTAATCGACAAGAGACAAATAAAGAGAACAGAACAAAAACTCCCTCTGTTTTTTTCCTCCTTGGTTAATCAAACTTTTAACAGTCGTTGTCATCTTCCACTAATGTTTTTTTTTTTTAACCCCACAATGCTGAACCTACCTTGTCAAGGAAGGTGGGGCGGTCCATGGAAGACTCTTTGGAGATCGGTGGTGGGCGGCAGCCAAGGGGTTTGGTGACCATTCCATTGTAGTCAGCTACTCCCATTCCACGCTTGTCCATTTCCACCTTCTTTTCCAGCAGAGCACCTGTAAACGGTAAAGCAAACATGAAAATGTCACAAGAAAATTAGGAAACTTTATCCAAGTCAAAATAAAATTACACTTATACTGCTTTTAGTACACTTTCCTTAGTATTAATACATTTTAAAACTTGAAATTTAAAATAAATGCTCTCCTTTAAAGCATTGAATTGGTATATATTTATAACCTGCCCAATTTTTTCATAAAATGAAACATGATGCAGTTTATTTCACTGAAACAGAACAACCCTCACCCATATCAATATCACTTACAAAAATACTTACTCATGGCCTGATCTAGATTCATACTGTTACTCTTTAAGGCCTCTTCTGCTGGCTCTCTCTGCAAAAATAAGAAAATGTGTTTGTTCCTAACTACACAATACAAAGTTTATAACTACATATAAGAACACTTTACATGCACAAGTATACTCTCCTTCTTATGTTAAGAGGTCATAATAACTGATATTTCAAGAGTTAATATTCAGAAGGCACCAAGTTTGCAACTGAATTTTGGGGGAAAGTGTGGTCTATGGTCAAGCAGTAAGTTTATGTGCCAGAACCAGAAGATGAAGTTTTTCATAGCATACCAGTAATCACCTTCCAAGATTTGCAGATCAAGTTATGTCTAGAAGTGCAAGAGTTGGAGATAATGAAAAGCTGGCAAACTTATATCAATTTTAGGTTCAACCACCATTTGGAATGGAAAGTGGAACTGGTCCTGGCTTTACATTTTACTCCACTATGGAAAGATATGTACCATCTAGTAAGTCCCCCAGTCCCCTTTCAGTTTCAGTGCCCACCTACAAACTGAAAATAATTGTCTACCTCATAGGCTTGTTGGGCAACCATATCCCATAATTTCTGTCATGGATCTAATAGGAAAGCATTTCAGGTACCTCTGAAGTGGCCAAAGCATCTGCCCCTTCCTGAGCCATCAAAAAATGCTTAAGTTGAAAATCCTACCATTGTTGTGAACTAGGAAGACCAAATTCAATTTGGAATTGGGAAAAATCCTTAATATAATCATTGCACAATAACTGATTTAAAGTCACTATCCCAGCTTCTGCCATACTTTCCAATAACATTTTACCATCTATTTTTAAAGTTGAAATTTTCCAAAGAGTTAAATATTCATAAGTCTCATTATCAAAACCAAATCTATGCCCCAATATGGTCCAAGATTTCTCACAACCTACACTCCTGGAAATAACCATATTTTCTAACAGATGTTGTTCCAAGAACTTGTCATGACTGTAAGGGGAATAAATAATAACATTCCAACATAGCCCATACAGGATGATATTCCATTAAATTTTCATTTGAGAGTGCTAATAAAATATAAGCCCAATGATATTCTTCAAATTAGATAAATTAAAGTCACCCTCCTCAAATGGTAATTTCAATTTAGCTAATGGAAACTTTGGTGGATTACTATCCCAAATGAATTTCCTAAGTAGTCTATCAATTTGAAGAACATATTTATTTGGTATTAATATTATGATACCTCTAAGGACATAAAGTGAGGAACAATATTCATTTTAATAATATTAATTTTACCCCACAATTTATATCTAGTTCATTTTTTTCTAAAAGTTTCAAGATATTTTGATTATTATGGCTACCCCCTTTTGGAGCATAATCTCTAAAGCAAATTATTTATAAACATATTTACTTCCACATCACGTATCTAGAAACATTTGGAGGAATATAAAGTCCAAGATATTTAATATAATATATGGAAATCACAAAACCAAACTCTTTATATAACTGTGTTGAGATGTTAGAGCTTAAGAAAAGTAAGCAAGGTTTATCCCAGTTAATCTTATAGCCAGAGTACTTTCTGAAATACTGTACTACCTTTATAAAATTAGGTAAAAAAGTAGAGTACTTATCGCAAATTGCAAAATATCACCAGCATATCAAATTATTTTATATTATCTCCTACAACTAAATGGAATGGCTTAGGAAAACTTCCGGGGAAGAAATGAAGAACTGAAGACAGCTCCATGAAAAGTGGAGCTGATGACTGTGGCAGAATGAAGAGCTGGCGAGTAGACTGGCTCTTTGTAATTCCTCTCCGGACAAGAAGACTTGAGATCACCCACAAGTGCTCTAGGCAGTTGCTCCTTGCAAGGAGATTGCAAGAAAGTGGTCTCTGGAGGGTTTAGAGCTCTGGGAGACAAGGGAATAGCCATCTTGCTGAACTCACAGTTGGTGCCTTTCAAAGTACACTGGGTTTGCATATTTCCTTTTGTAATCACTTTTGGATATTGCTTGTTAATTGCTTTTCAACTATTAGAAACCTTTGGATTGACAAATTTAACAGTACCAGATGAATTTCCTTCAATTCTCAGCAAAAAAGTTTTAAAAACAAGTTTAAGGACTTTATTTTTTTTTTCTGGAATAAACAGCAAAAAGTTGAGCAAAACTTTGATTTTAGAAAGTTACAAATG